TATGACGATTGCATCATCATCCGTAAGGCTACGTTGGAGTACCTCAATAACCGGAACAAATGCTGCATCGAGGACTTCTTCATCATCGAAGCTTTCAATATGCTCTAGCATAGTTTGATGAAACCGTTCGGTTGACTCGATGGTGTGGTTGATTATGTCGATGTGCCTGTTAATAATGTTCCTGCACATCTGATTGGTAGCTGAACCAAGATTGGTTTCACCCAGAGCAGCGTCTGCTTGATTGCTGAGCCCTTGCTCATGTGCTTCCTTGATAGCCTTGCGCTGGATGCGTTTGTTCATGCCACCTCGTCTTGTTGGACCTTTTGGTCTTGTCGAGGGTACAGAAGCCGATCCTTGAGAGGATGCTTTGGCCTTTGGCGGCGGAAGTTTCGGAGGAGGTGAGATGCAGGCTGCCTTGGAAGGCACTGGTGGCATTGCCGAAGAGGCTGATGGTTTTGCACTAGGTAGTGCAGCTTGACCTCGAGCCTTGGCTGTTGAGCTCTTGGAAAACGTGGTGTGTGTCACACCTAGGGCTTCTTCAGCCATTTGTGCATGAAGAGCATCTTGAAAGAAACTCCTCAATTTAGGAATGTTGCTCGAGTTTTCATAGGCTCGGAGGCGATCAATGTCTCTTTCGGTGCCACGTGATCGTGTATCACCTCTGTTGAAGATATCGTTTCTTCGAATCTCCGCCGTTGTTACGGCATGGAAACATGTTTTGCAGAGAATCTTTCGCGACTTATCTCTCGCTTGTCTTAGCTGATAGCATTCGCTGGAGAGATGATAGCACTGGCTACTTGGAGTATGCCAGATTGGTCGCAGATCCGTTGATTCTCCTGAGTTAACCCTGTTGGGTTCTGTCAGGTCTCTCGACTCAGGCTCGTCCTCGGGTTCGAGGAAAGGAGCACTTTGTTTGGCTGCTGCCTTCGACTTCGGTGGTCGCTCCATACATTGAACTGGAGCTCTCGTCAACTGCTTCCACATCCACCGGAGTCCCATCAGCAAGAGGAAAACATTCCATGCAATGCTGAAGAAGGACAACTCATCACTTGTCAGTGAGTCTGGCAGCGAGGAATGATCGGTCTCCATTGACTCTGCATTTGCTCCCCCACGTTTGGGGTGTCCAAACCATCCTGACAGTCCAGCTGCGGCTGCAGCAGTTTTGACTGCTTTTGCACTTGGTGCTGATGGTGGACGTGAAGATTTTCTTCTCCTCCTGCTAGAGGAGTCCTCTTCTTCTTCCTCTGCTCGTTGCGCATCCATCAGGTTTGATGTTTCGCGCTCGTGCTCTTCAATGTCACTCTTGGTTGGTGACTTCTCTTCCTCGACTTCCTTAAGCTCGTCCAAGGACATGTTGAGCTTATCGACAACAGTCGGTCTTTGATTTCTGGACCTTGATCTTGGTAGATCATGCTGGTCAGACGAAGAGGATGCCCGATCTCTTCCTGGTGGAGGACTCGGAGGCTCATTTGGACGTTCGGGTTGTGGCCTCTCCCACCACCTGTTGTACGATTGGGAACGACCTGATGGTCGTGACTTATCCCACCAGTAGTTACCGGAAGAATATGTGAAATGTTCTTGCGACTGCCGATGTTCGGCTAGCCGTTGATTGTGTTCTTGTCGCTTTTTAGCGATTTTCTCCACTTGTTCATTTGACTTGCTATGCTTCCCTTTTGTGTTCATAGCCTGGATTGTGAAATCTAGTGGGCTATGCCAATCCTTGTCGGAAGGAGCTAGCCATAGGTCGATATTGGAAAAAGTGGAGTAATAGTTCTTGGTAGTAATATGGAGACGGGCATCGATTTCCTTAGACCTGTTGATCTCATGCCATCTGTCTGAGACTCGTTCCCAGTACGACCTTTCGACGGTTGCGGTAACTTTCTTGTGACTCGGAGTCGCCGTGTGCGGCGTTTTACCCCAGTCCAAGATATAGGCGTTAATGCAGTCAAGGTCTGCATATTTGTCCTTCGCATCCGGTAGGAGCCTGTTGGCATATTCCAGTCGATGCTGGTCTGAGTTATTGATGCAGGAATAACGCACTTGTGAGTGCCTATCTGTCTTGTGATTGAATGCTGCCAACTTCTTCTCTAGTGAGAGAGTGAAGAGGCTATTCCTGGGATGCACATCGCCACCCTTTAGGGTGAGTCTGCTTGCGATGTTGTTGAGGTCCCCAGCAATGATGTCTGGTTTGAATGGAAGGACCTCGTCCAGGAAGGCATTGACGTGTTCACGCCTTTGATGTTCTTTGTGTGTCATGTACGAGTTGAAATGAACGATGGCGATGGTGACGACCTTGTAAGGTCCTTTTGTGCACCACATTTCGTCGAGGTCGGTTGTGGCTTCTGTTGAGAAGATTTCCACAAAGGTCTCAAAATCCTCCGCTGGAGGTTGTTCTCCCTCGACGTGCCCGTTCCACTCGCACAGCACTGGAGCCGGGGACAGCTCTGACAGTGTCAGCCATGACTCTGGGCAGAGATATGAGCTGTCCTTCGGTCCGTCAGCATCAGGATTCTTACCCTTGAGAGGGTCTGATCCGCAGAGGTCCATGTAGTCTTGTCGCGTCATGCGCTGACCCGTTTGCGGGTGTACCCACTCTTTGGCCTCTGGAATGGTAGAATGGTAGCCGAAAGTCAACCGACAAACGGCTCCATGGCATGCCCAGAGCTGTCTCTTCGGGCCACCATCCTTTGGCCGCACCGTTCGGTGCCTGTAAAAGTGATGGATCAGGGCGATATCCGTGGTCGGATCTCCTTTCACGCCCACATACATGGATGGTGCAATCGGCTCGTTAGCCGGTGAGTGGATCAGCATGCCGCGATATTCGAATTTCTGCATGACCTGAATGCTGTGCTCCGATGTCAATGCACCTGCCTCGAGTACGAGGGTAATATGTGCTGAGTTGTTGAAGCACATGTCGATCAGGGGATGATAATCGAATCCCTTCTCAGGTTTGAGCTTTTTCTTGGGATTACCTGCCGGTACAGAAGCTCGATCCATGTTTCCCCAGTTGCACACGACAACGCCTAGTGAGGCTGCGTCTGGGTTGGATCCTTCAATATAATCCTTTTGCTCTCCTACGCCTCCCATCCGGTTTCGGACAATTTCGTAGTGAGCATCCAGCACATCCTTTGGTTCATGACCCGTCAGGGCAAGAAACGATGCCGGGTGGCACGTTCTTGAATCACGGATGTTGATGTGCTGTTTGTTGATGGTCCTGTATTCCTCCAGGGTTGGAGCTTCGGTCGAACTGGTGTAAGTTCTCGCAGGGTTGCTCCGAATGTCCGGAATAGTATTTGGATTGACGCCAGGATTGGCGTATACAAAGTTTTCTCGGGCGATGGCACAGTACTCATTGATTGACTTCATCGCCTGGTCGATATCCTCATCATTGAGGACAGATTCGTAGACGGCACGACGCTCGTCTGGGGACATTCCGGCAGGAACAACTGACCCTTGGAGGAACTCAGCAGGTAAAACACATGAGCACATAGACTGTTTACCCTGTGGGGTAAGTCGACAGTCTGCACACACGATATTTCCACATTGATAGCAGAAATAACCTGTTGTTTGATTGCACAGGTGACAGCGTGTGACTTCCGGGGCGCGGAAGCAATCTTATTTTCTGATTGAGGCTCATGGTAGTCTTCCGGACTCCTACGACTCTCTCCTTTTTAGGAGGTTCAGAGGAGGATGCAGCACTCTCTCGAGGCTGGTCCCACTCTTCGTCGTTGGGGGCCTCGGAATCCTTGATCATGAGAGGCTTTTGCCTCTTTCGATTCCATCGACAGACGTGGATCCTTTCTTTTACCTCCTCTTTCGCGGCTGCATTCAGCCTTGATTGAGCGTTAACGTGTTTCTTATTTTCCTTGAGCCTAGCGTTGATACGCTGTCGCTCTTCGAGGAGATCTTCATCGTCTGCCGGTTCCTCGTAATCGAGGTTCAGTTTACTCCGATTGACTCGGTAATGATAACCTGTCTCGGGATCGAAGATAACCACGAACCTATCCTTCTTTAAAATCGGCGATGTTTGATAGAGGCACTTACTGACGACACTGTACAGAGTATTCTCGCGGTGAAGTACACAATAAGGATATTTAAAAACTTCGCAATCGGATATATTCAAATGAATCCAACTCGATATGTATGTGACTCAATAAAAGGAGTCGAGCTCGAGGCTCAATGGTATTCCCGGACAAATAAGAAGTTGGCAGCAGAGAAGGTCGCGCACTCTTCCTTATTCTCTTCAGCGATCAGGGGTTTGAACGAATTCTAATTCGGGAACCATAGCATCCGGGCCGCAGCCGATGCGAGGAGCACGGGCCAGAAGCCGCTCAGAGTTTGTCCCGAACACACCCCCCCCCCCCCGCAAATGTCTGGGCTGGGCGGGCGGGGAAAAGTTTTAAAAGCTCAGCTCGAGCAGTCACTTCGTCACAAACAAGAGCGTCATCAGAGATGCGAAGAAGGATGGACATGCGACTAAAAATCTGTAAAGCATGCCAAAGACTTCTCTTGAAAAATCCACCCAAAAAGGGGTGGGATGAAATAAGTCTCATGAAGTACCGTTGTCAATGTCAAACACGGCCTGCGGCCTGTCACCGATTTCAAAGAAAGAAAAGTCTGCAGGCAGAAAAGTTTCTTCTTTAAAATCGGCGATGTTTGATAGAGGCACTTACTGACGACACTGTACAGAGTATTCTCGCGGTGAAGTACACAATAAGGATATTTAAAAACTTCGCAATCGGATATATTCAAATGAATCCAACTCGATATGTATGTGACTCAATAAAAGGAGTCGAGCTCGAGGCTCAATGGTATTCCCGGACAAATAAGAAGTTGGCAGCAGAGAAGGTCGCGCACTCTTCCTTTTTCTCTTCAGCGATCAGGGGTTTGAACGAATTCTAATTCGGGAACCATGGCATCCGGGCCGCAGCCGATGCGAGGAGCACGGGCCAGAAGCCGCTCAGAGTTTGTCCCGAACACACCCCCTCGGATCGACGAACTCAGAGCAGGTAGGCATCAATCAAAGATTGGTCAACAAGGTAAGGCTCAACCTCTGTCGCACGAACGACTTTCTGCGCTTTCCAGCCTTCGCCCCTGGAGGGCCAATCTGCGATGTTCGATGAGGATGGCACCCTCTCTATCCAAGAAATGCAAGGGGCGACGGCATCGACCATAGACAAAGCCAGGGCCAAGCGATGCATCGCGTCACTTCTGCTTTGACCACGCAACACCACAGATCTAGCGGCATCGTTGTCAATGAAGAAAATGATTCTCTTTCCTGAAAGAAAATTCTGAAGGCCGGCCCTGATCATCAGGAGGGCATAAAGCTCCACCTCACAGATGATTTGCTCCCCGACCTCCTCACGCCAGCGAACCACAAGGCGCTCGGGAACTTGCCCTTGAAAGACTCTGGATACGCCGCTGCTCGCATCGAGAATCACTGCACCGATCCCGGCGAAGGCTTTGGCAGGCTCCCAAGCTCCATCAGTCCATACCAGGATGGGAGGCTCGCCGGTCGAATCGCAACTTATGAAGCGGGGCGGTGTGCTCACAAGAATCTTGATCGTGTGCCTGCACATCTCGCTGACTGTCTTTGGCGAAGGCCTGTCTCCAGCCAGGAAACCAGATAGCCATTTGCACGAGTGCTTGAGGGCACGACCGGCAAAGAAACCCGATGAAAAGTTGAGCAAGCCCAGCAAAATCTGTGCCTGGTGAATCGTGAGGAAACCCGAAGCAGCCACGGATTCAAGCTTCTCCACGATCCGATCGATCCTGCCAGGTTTGTTCGACAGGACGATGCTTCTCTCCGACATGTTGCTCAAGTCGATCTGCATTCCCAAAACGGAGAAAACCTCCGCAAAGGGATGTGATTTGCTGCCTGTCTTGGCGTGGCTCCAGCCCAGAAGATCTAAGAATTCGCTGATGATGCCGTCAGTGTCGCTAGAAGCGAGCGATGTCGAAAACATCGGAAAGTCGTCAAAGTACACTGAGCTAGGAAGCTTGAATATCTTCAGCAGCAGTTTGTGAAGGCTTCTGCTCGTGCGCACGAACCCGTACACCGAAGCAGCGAGTCCGAAGAGCAGCGAGTTTGCAATGAAGAATTGATCCTCGCCAGCCGGGCCCTTGTGGTAGATCACAGCTAGAGAGCGATGCTCTTTCTTCATAGGCATCTGCTTGTACGCCTTAGATAAATCAAGGCACTTGCCCAGCCACGATCGAGGGGGCTCGCCTGTAGCGCGAGATCTCTCGGCCTCTTCAATGGCGATCCTTGTTGCTAGAGCTGCAACAAAGTCGGAACTCTGGAGCTCTAACTTTATGGTGGCCGTGAAGCAATTGTTGATCAAAGCCTCGTGCCCGTCATCAATGGGTCTAGGTTTGTTCTCGGCTCCTTGAAGGATCAGGAATCTTCGTATGCAGTTCCAATCTTCTGAATGGAATAAGCCAGACACTTGACTTTCGGTGTAAGGGCCTTCCAGAAAACCCAGATCGACTTCGTCCATCGTAGCCTTCGACAGCAAATCCTGAAGGTCGGCTGCTTGCATGCCACTGGATCCAGTCATGACCCTTCGGCGGAATGATGCAGTGCTTTTGAGATCCTGTTCCGACATGGTCGCCGGCACAATCTTTTTGCTGAAAGGCGGAGGGCAGGCTGACTGCCCGACAATCGGGACGCCTGACATCATGAAATCGCAGACTTGCATGTCATCGAAACCGTTCTGTTCAAGAAGGTGCTTCCACAAAACAAGACGCTTTCCCGCAACAACCTTTTCGAACCAAGGGTCGAAAGAAGAATGCAATCGAGCCTCGTCGGCCTCAAACTTTTTGGCAAGGATCTTTATCTTCATAAGTTGAAGCTTACGATGATCTACCACCTCTTTCTCTGTGTTTTTCATGCAGAAGCTGATGGCATCAAGCTGATCCTGATCAAGGGCTACGGCAGTGTCGACGGGATGCTTTAAGGTCAAGGCCTTTGCCACGTGATCCTGCATCGACAAGTACCACCCCACCTTAACCGAACCCTGGGGCGGGTCGGAACCGTTAGGGAAACCAGAGGAGTGAACCTTGCTGGAAACCTTATTCGCGACTCTGGGGAGCTTAGCAGGAGGGTTTAACTCCTTGTCGCCAGTAACCCGTCCTTCAAACACAGCTGCATTGTCAACTGCATTGCTGTCCTCGGCTGCCTTCTCTCTCCCGCCATCCTCCCCAGCAATCTGAGAGAGGAGACCTTGCGAAACTCAGGAATCAAGGGAGGGAATCGGCGGTGCTGCCGACCAAGAACTGCAACAGAGCTGGCTGCCAAGTCAGGAGATGCCTGCAAAGATAGACCCAGGAACGAAGCCGCGCTCTCCAGACAGGAGGCCATGCGTTTGCAGAGCAGAACGGGGTATGCCGACACCAAAGAAGACGACAACTGCATAGAACGCTCATGGAACACAAGGCCCCACGGGCGATGCACGTGATTGCCTGGACAAGTAGCTCGAAGCGAGTGGAACAAGCCTCGAGTGCACAAGAAGCGAGTGGACTTGGGTCGATCGGAACCATGACAACACTGGTCGAAATCAACGTACTCCAAGGCGGCCGGCGGCCAAAGCAAGCCCTCGGCCTCAGCAAAGCATTGAAGAACCTTCCAGAAAAGCGAATTCCGAGGATTCTCAACACTGACATTGATGCCTGAAGCGGAACAATGCAGTAGAAGCTTGTAAACGAAACGGTACAGCACATTGTCCCTGCGCACTGCAAGGCTCTGCTGAGACGCGGCACTCAGTGACGGCAGGCCTAAAGGGAAATCATCGGAACGCAAAGGTTTAGGGGCCTTAGAGGCAAGGGCATGATTCCTTGGCAGGGGACGCTCACGAGAGCGAGAAGCCGTGCCCGCAGGGGGCGATGCATGCACGTGAAAAGGAGGGCACTCCTTAATGAGATCCCAAAAGATTGCCTGTGCTGAATCTAAGGTCAGATCAAGCTTGGCTACAGGAGAGACTGCCCTATAGCAAGAACTGTCTAACCCTAAAACCCGAAAACCCAAATCCTTGCAAGCCTTGCTGAAACGTGCACTGCCAGCGAAAAGCTCGTAAACCCAGGAGTCGGATTTCACAGGCGGCTGTTCCTGGGCAGTCACAGGAATGGGAAAGGCTAGATCAGGCGGGGGCCTAAACCCGAGATTAAGCAGGGTCCTTGCTGACTCAGTTGAAACTTTCTCAAGGCTCGCGACAGTGAAGGCCACACAAACCAAGCGATCGCCAACCCAGCTTTCGGTCTCGTGAGGGTATTTAAAGGCATCGAAAGTGACCGGGGTCTCGAGGCTAAGGATTGAGCCTTTTACTATGTCACCTTTGATTGACCGTGTGTGAGGTCCGCATCCATCAGCGATCCAGATGCCACCTCCCTGAAAAGATGTCACGGGTATGACCCCGTTGGGGGTAGGATGGTTCCTCGAATCGACATGCAAATCGGTTTTGGTGTTGTGAAACAGACTGATTGTAGTGAAGAAATGATCAGGCATGAAAGTGCGAACAAAAGTAGTGAAGAGCTTGACGCAGAATGGAAACAGAGCACATTCACTCCGAAGACCCTGCAATCCACCTTTTGCGTATGCCCCACAACTGAAGCTGCTCGGAGGCTGCGAGGAGGCTCCTCTAGAAGGAATCTCCTTGGGCAAAAGATCAAAAATCTGAACAACATCTTGCTTTGTAATCCCTGACCCTCTGGCCAAAATGGCCTGCGCGAGGACCTCAGCATCGCTAGGGGCAGAATCCGAAGTGGCCACGAGGTCAGGCGCCTGGGGCGTCGCATGGCCCCATCACTGTACCTGATTTGTGCATTCAGTAAAGGGGTGATCCCCAAAACAACGCCAACACTGGTGGAAGCCTCGCGGGCATCTTCCTTTCGTCACCTTGAGCCTGCATGTACCCAAGTTAAACCCAAAACAATTCGGCTTGCCCTGAGGATCTTTGGCTGCACAGCCATCCGGAATGGTCACACGGGATGCCTTGCCTCCGCCCTTTTCACCGCCCTTGTTGGGCGTCTTACCCTTCCCGTCACCTTTGGTTGGCGTGGTAAGCTCCTTGAAAGGGCGCTTCGTTGGGTGAGGGGCAGGAGGAGGAGCTACAAGCGGCTGAAGAAACTGATTTATCTCCTGGCTTCCCGATAGATCGCGCAAGGCAGCATCCATGGGTTTTTCAACACCTATGGGTTTCTGCAATTGTCCCTCAAGCATGTCGGCCAACCGGACAAAAAGCTCGCGATCTGCCGTAACAACTTGTCCCAAGCTAACTGCCACATATCCCTTTGGCACGGTGCGTTGAACTGCTTCGAAGAGCTTGTTGATCCAAGTTTCCATAGCTTCAAAGCTACACAAGTGACCCAGATCAAAGGCTAGCGACCGTCTCTGGAAGGCCTGCCGGAGAGGGTACATGCCTGCGGTGTCGCACGTCGGCTCCGGCTTTTTCTGGATCACCTTTAGGTTGCCCTCGTTGTCCATCTGAACGGCAGAATCCTTCTTCTGGGGAGACATCTCTTGGAAGCGGGATATCCATCTGTTAATCGGAATGTACTTGAGTGTGTTATTCTCGTACATGTCGGTCACAAGGTCGATGCAGCTATGGGCAGGGGTTGTATGAGAAGTTAGGATGAGACCCGACAGCCTACGATGCTGCGCCTCAATCCGCTCCTTTCGTTCGGCCTGGGGCAGGCGGCGCACGGAACCTTCTGGAGTCCCTTCGACCCTAGACTTGAGGTCCGCCACATTGAGTGATTGCGATTCAAACAGCAACCTACGGATCACTGAAACCTGAAAGGAACCAGGAGCCGGGGTGACTACAGTGGCTAACCATGAGTCGACAGCTTCATCTGTCAGACCGTGCGGTGTAGATGATGCGGCGAATGCCAGCTTTCCAAATGTGTTGTAACCGGCTTCAATCAACTTACCTAGAAGATCGTTGCTGAGGCCTATTTTACTGCATCTTTCCCGGAACGACGCTTCACTGTCCAATATGACAGAGGACATGGCTCAGCCTGCAGGCTACTCGGACTCGGCCGTTGACACAGTATTGAAGCAGAATGCTTCGGTCACTGTCTGAGCCAACGGGCGGTCACTGTCTGAGCCAACGGGCGCCGGATCCACGCTTTGACATGTTGCCAAGCTGCTGCACAGCTGACCATGACATCGTGATTTCAGCAACGACACTTTAAGCATGTTCGCCAAACTTCCAGCACCACGGGCCATAGGCCGGTGCATGATGCATGGATGTGTTTCACAGTCCTACATCAGATCTAGCCCGCGCCATTCCAAGAGAAAGGGTCTGGGTTTTCGGCATGCCCCGGGCTCAGAAAGCCGGCATCCGCAGTCTGTCACCTCGGGTCCTAGACCGGTGCCATGTGTATTCTCCGGAGCCACGATATACAGCCCCAACAGTTCACATCAACGTCGAATGAAACTCACTCCTGAATGGGGAAAGCGGGTCCCACGGATCCGAAGGATCGGGACGTCTTTTCGCATTGGCATTGTCTGAGCTCGCCACGGGCCAAAAGCCGGCGATGCAAAAGAACTGCAGTGGTACATCCCACCACCGAGCTCGGCCGATTTTTCTTTCGAGATTATCTGTTCAATCAGCGCCCGACATCGCCCGCCTGCACTGATGGCAGGTGTCCGGATCATCGGCATCGTCTTCCTCGAAATCCCTGTATCTGTCTGTGAGGGGACGCCCACAAAAGAAAGTGCCCTCGTCCCTAAGTCGATGAACGATGCCAGACAGGCTATGCACACGGAGCTCCGCCATAGTGCACTCGAAAGGTGGCCTAAGCTCAAGACCGCAACGCGGCATCGGCTCATACCCCACGATGGACTCAGCAGACTCAGAAGACTCCACATCGGCGGCACCCACATGTTGATCTTCAGGAGGAGCGGGAGCCTGTGCAGCAGTCGTGTCGCCGGCGAGTGCCGATGCCACCGCAGCGACTCTGTCCGTGACCTCGGCATCCGGGTCGAACTGGTTCTGGCGGATGGTCCTGAACATTGCCAGGATTTTGCCCGACAAGTTGATGTAGAACTGTCGACTATAAATCAAAGTCGAAGAAGGGCCGCCCTTCCTGAGGTGATGTCCCATCAACAACCTCTCCTTGGGGGTAAAAGAAATTATATCATTCATGAGCCTAGGGGTAATTCTCAGCAGGGGTACTTCTCAGCCACTGCCGAAGATTTAAGAAGATTGTTGAATTATTTGGAAGATTGTTGAAGAAAAACGAATTATTTGGAAGATTGTTGAAGAAAAATGAATTATTTGGAAGATTATTGAAGAAAAACAAATTATTTGGAAGATTGTGGCAGAAATGCGAATTATGTGAGGGTTTCAATTTGAGGCTTAAACACGGTTTAGGGTTCAGGGCTCATGGTTTAGGCTTCCTGGCACGGCTCGAGGACCTGCCAAAATGGAACACCGAGGTTTAGGGTTTAAAGATTCTAGGTCTAGTATTGGTCAGCTTCGGGGCCCACAAAGTTTAGGGTGCCAACTTCCGAGGTTCAGGGTTTAAAGGTTTAGGGTTTAGGGCTTACGGTTGTTCGGGTCTAAAGGTGTAGGGTTTAGGGTTTAGGGTTTGGGTGAAAACACCCACTTTGTGGGAGTACTAGAGTTGAAAACAAATATGAGTAATCGAGTAGTGAAGTAATAGAGTAATAGAATAATAGAGTAGTAGACTAATAGAGTACTAGAGTATTTGAGTAATAGAGTAATAGAGTAATAGAGTAATAGAATAATAGAGTAATGGAGTAACAGAGTAATAGACTATGTGTGTGGAAAATTGAAACCCTTTGCTATGTTCGCGAAGCGAGGAATTTTTTTTGTTTTTTATGCAAAATTCATGCAAATGCTTTTGGTGCGAGTGTCTGGAGCAAGCCTTGTAGTGTGTGTGGAGTACTAGAGTTGAAAACAAATATGGATGTTCGCGAAGCGAGGAAAATTTTTGTTTTTTTATGCAAAATTCATGCAAATGCTTTTGGTGCGAGTGTCTGGAGCAAGCCTTGTAGTGTGTGTGGAGTACTAGAGTTGAAAACAAATATGGATGTTCGCGAAGCGAGGAAATTTTTTGTTTTTTTATGCAAAATTCATGCAAATGCTTTTGGTGCGAGTGTCTGGAGCAAGCCTTGTAGTGTGTGTGGAGTACTAGAGTTGAAAACAAATATGGATGTTCGCGAAGCGAAGAATTTTTTTTTGTTTTTTATGCAAAATTCATGCAAATGCTTTTGATGCGAGTGTCTGGAGCAAGCCTTGTAGTGTGTGTGGAGTACTAGAGTTGAAAACAAATATGGATGTTCGCGAAGCGAGGAAATTTTTTGTTTTTTTATGCAAAATTCATGCAAATGCTTTTGGTGCGAGTGTCTGGAGCAAGCCTTGTAGTGTGTGTGGAGTACCAGAGTTGAAAACAAATATGGATGTTCGCGAAGCGAGGAAATTTTTTGTTTTTATATGCAAAATTCATGCAAATGCTTTTGGTGTGAGTGTCTGGAGCAAGCCTTGTAATTAGTGTGTGTGGAGTACTAGAGTTGAAAACAAATATGGATGTTCGCGAAGCGAAGAAATTTTTTGTTTTTTATGCAAAATTCATGCAAATGCTTTTGGCGCGAGTGTCTGGAGCAAGCCTTGTAGTGTGTGTGGAGTACAAGAGTTGAAAACAAATATGGATGTTCGCGAAGCGAGGAAATTTTTTGTTTTTTTATGCAAAATTCATGCAAATGCTTTTGGTGCGAGTATCTGGAGCAAGCCTTGTAATTAGTGTGTGTGGAGTACTAGAGTCGAAACCAAATATGGATGTTCGCGAAGCGAAGAAATTTTTTGTTTTTTTATGCAAAATTCATGCAAATGCTTTTGATGCGAGTGTCTGGAGCAAGCCTTGTAGTGTGTGTGGAGTACTAGAGTTGAAAACAAATATGGATGTTCGCGAAGCGAGGAAATTTTTTTGTTTTTTATGCAAAATTCATGCAAATGCTTTTGGTGCGAGTGTCTGGAGCAAGCCTTGTAGTGTGTGTGGAGTACCAGAGTTGAAAACAAATATGGATGTTCGCGAAGCGAGGAAATTTTTGTTTTTTTTATGCAAAATTCATGCAAATGCTTTTGGTGTGAGTGTCTGGAGCAAGCCTTGTAATTAGTGTGTGTGGAGTACTAGAGTTGAAAACAAATATGGATGTTCGCGAAGCGAAGAAATTTTTTGTTTTTTATGCAAAATTCATGCAAATGCTTTTGGCGCGAGTGTCTGGAGCAAGCCTTGTAGTGTGTGTGGAGTACTAGAGTTGAAAACAAATATGGATGTTCGCGAAGCGAAGAAATTTTTTTGTTTTTTTATGCAAAATTCATGCAAATGCTTTTGGTGCGAGTATCTGGAGCAAGCCTTGTAATTAGTGTGTGTGGAGTACTAGAGTTGAAAACAAATATGGATGTTCGCGAAGCGAGGAAATTTTTTGTTTTTTTATGCAAAATTCATGCAAATGCTTTTGGTGCGAGTGTCTGGAGCAAGCCTTGTAGTGTGTGTGGAGTACTAGAGTTGAAAACAAAATATGGATGTTCGCGAAGCGAAGAAATTTTTTTTGTTTTTTTATGCAAAATTCATGCAAATGCTTTTGATGCGAGTGTCTGGCGTCTGGAGCAAGCCTTGTAGTGTGTGTGGAGTACTAGAGTTGAAAACAAATATGGATGTTCGCGAAGCGAGGAAATTTTTTTGTTTTTTTATGCAAAATTCATGCAAATGCTTTTGGTGCGAGTGTCTGGAGCAAGCCTTGTAGTCTTCCCTGTTCTACGTAAGACTGCTGCATGCTTTTAAATTCTTCTAAATTCTTCTAGATTCGTCGGAATTCTGCAATTTTCTTTCAAAATCTTCCGGTTTCTGCCTGTCTGTCAAGACATGCCTGGTTCCCAACACCATTTTTTTTCATTTGTACACACACACCATATCCCCCATTTCTTCGTTTTTCTACCTTTTCTACCTTTTTCTACCTTTTTCTACCTTTTTCTACCTTTTTCTACCTTTTTCTACCTTTTTCTACCTTTTTCTACCTTTTTTCTACCTTTTTCTACCTTTTTCTACCTTTTTCTACCTTTTTCTACCTTTTTCTACCTTTTTCTACCTTTTTCTACCTTTTATTCGGTTGAGGTTTGTTTTTTTTTCTCTTTTTTTCCCCTTTCTACCGGCATGCTTGGGGGAAGGAAATGCTGCCCGATTTTCAGCCCCTCCCCCCCCCCTCCCCTAGGCCATACGTTTAGGGCCTAGGGTTTAGGGCCTTAGGTTTAGGGCCTAGGGTTTGGGGCCTTAGGTTTAGGGCCTAGGGTTTGGGGCCTTAGGTTTAGTGCCTAGGGTTTAGGGCCTTGCGTTTAGGGCCTTGGGTTTAGGGCCTAGGGTTTAGGGCCTAGGGTTTGGGGCCTTAGGTTTAGGGCCTAGGGTTTAGGGCCTTAGGTTTAGGGCCTAGGGTTTGGGGCCTTAGGTTTAGGGCCTAGGTTTAGTGCCTAGGGTTTAGGGCCTTACGTTTAGGGCCTAGGGTTTAGGGCCTAGGGTTTAGGGCCTAGGGTTTGGGGCCTTAGGTTGACGGCCTAGGGTTTGGGGCCTTAGGTTTAGGGCCTAGGGTTTAGGGCCTTACGTTTAGGGCCTAGGGTTTAGGGCCTTAGGTTTAGGGCCTAGGGTTTAGATGTATGTATATACGTGTGTATGTATGTATGTTTGTATGTATGCATGTATATGTATGTATGTATGTATGTATGTACATGTGTGTGTGGGTGTGCAGGTGTGTATGTTCGTATGTGTAGGTGTTTATGTGTGTGTGTGTGTGTCTGTGTGTGTATGCATGTGCTTATGTATGTATGCATGTATGGATGTATCTGCCTATGTATGTATGTATATATGTATGTATTGGAGAGGGCCCTCAACACGTTTATTAAACTCCATATTTGGGGCTTAAACAGGCTGTTTCAGAGGCAGAACGGGCCTGAGTTTCCACATAAACGGGCCTGAGTTTCCACATAAACG